TTCTTAGAAATGAGAACTAGGTCCTTGCTGATCATGCACTGACACCAAATGATCATCGTCTATGTTTTCCGTTTTATTTTCTTGTGATAGAAAAGGATTAGCCCAGGGACACAAGTTCCTTTCATTGCTGGGTTAGTGGGCACTCCAGCACTCAACTGATAGTACCTGTGGTTAGGAAATTAAAGTGCCATGCTAAAGAATATACTGTTCATCAAACATTTGTCATTTTCTTGTCAAAAATGAGACTTTTGGCATGAAGACCCTGGCAATAATTATTAATGTTGGCAGTCTGAGCACTTGCAGCAAGACAAAGCGGTAGCAGAATGAATCATTGAGTGTCCAGTGACTTTGTAGGTGAACTGTAGAGGAGTGTTGTTTACCAAAACATTTGTGTTACAACATTGCTTCTCCTGCCCTAACCCTCTAGGTTGCACCATATGTAAAATCATACCTACCTATGATATATGCCATGTTTCTCCTTTCTTTCCAGCAAGATGCTGATTGGAGGAATGACGTAGACCTGAATTAGCTAGATATATGTGGGGTTTATTTTCTTTACATTGAGTTTTCAACATGTGATACAAAATTTATGAAGAATCTGTTAAAGCAAAAGCAGAAACAAGCTTCCCCCTCCCAAATTATACTATTCATGATAAACTGGAAATAAAAAAAAAAAAAAAAAAGAAGCTTTTTCAGTTAAATGTGTTTGATCCTCGAAAATGAATGAATAAGCAAAGACTTGATGGAAATGTGTGGGCCTTTTTAACCTTAAGGGTTATTCCAGCATGCATCTACATCATGCATACCTACCTAATTACTGTAGCGGTTTATGGTAGTGATACTGTTAGATGATCTTCTGTCTATAATGACTCTTTCAGCAATGCAACAATGCTCATGACAATAATAGCGTGGATTTGAGCTTTGTGTAGGCATTTCTATAGGAATAGGGCTTTTTGGGGGGGTGAAGGTACTCTCTCTACAAAATCTTGACCAAAACCAGGATGCCTGAAAGCAGATTCTGACATACCATGTTACACACTATTGGCTGGATTTCTCATGGGAAAAAGAGTGAAGCCTGGCTACATCAATGTTATCTGTTTCCTAAAATTCCAGACAACAGACCAATGTATGAAGATCCATGCAAATAATGTGGGCCTGATGAGATGCACTGCGTGCTGAGCCAGCCATAATAGGTTGTGAATATGTGTTTCCAGTCCCCCAAACTGTGGGTTCTCGTTGGATTCATGGACTTCTGATGTGGTGCTACTTGGCTTTCAGTGTATGGTGTAACAGCGTCCCTAAATAATCTACTGCTGCTCCAAAATACTTACAAAACCGTGCCATCGGAGATTGCTAAAACTCAGGCAGCACTTTCTGTTTCAAAGCACGTTAACTAAAATCTAATTGGATTGAACACACAGGTGCAAATACAAGGCACTGTCATTGGTACTATAGGATTAAGCATGGCATGTCCATGGCCATGGCACATTGCAGCTGTTTATGCAATTCATTCACCAGACGGGGCAAGAAACCTGTCTGAACTACGCAGACAGTTGTCTTAATTACACTAGGAATACAACATATCACTTTAGGCTTCCCCAGCACCTGAGGATCTCAGAACTTCTCACTCAGATAAACATCTATTGCATTTGTGTTACTGGACTTGCTTTGATTTGATGCTTAATTTGGTGGAATTATTCAGGACTGAAACAACGCTAGCTGAAACTGCAACATGGTTCAAGAAACAAAGTTGTCTTTTTTTATGCCTTTGGCAGTTCACTCAACACTAAAAAGTAAATAATAATTATGATGACTACTGGAAGGAAGTATGAAAGCTGCTTAAGTTTGTCAGAAAAAAAAAAACCCAAAAATCATAAAATTAAAATGAATATTAAAAAGGGTGGCTTCTATTTCCTTTTTAATTCCTTTTAATTGCTTAGATATTTAATTCCTTTTTAATTGCTTAGATATTTTGTGATTAATCTAGCCCCCAATCATTTCAGCCATAAAGAGGAGTTTCTATCTAAAACATCAGTAAAAGAAGGATGGAGTTATTGTTCTCTGAGAATCTGACAGGTTTTGAGCTGTTTGGTCTGAAATGGGATCAGCAGCATGCAGGCAGCTTTGAGAGGGAATTAAATGTGTGAAGAAAGACCGTTTAGGCATGAGACTGGTAATGAATGACTGAACATACAAGTTGATAAAATGGAAGTTTAGAATCACTAAAGCATTTGACTACTGCAGAAAATTGTTAGGAATTAACTACATGTCTCCACGTTTTTGTCAGCCTAAAGGCAAAGACTATTGTATATAATGATCATCAGAAAGGTTATTTAGAGAGAAAGTCTGATTTTTTTATGGGGATAAAGCACTCTATTGTGCTGCAAATTAAGCAAATTATGTTTTTTTTTTTTTTTTTAAAGCAAGTCTTACAATTTCTAGTGGCTACACTGTATTAATTAAGCATTAGTTCCCCGGTAGTGCACTCTTCTGTTGTGTTCCTGTCATAGCTCACAGCTAAATTCAGCAGTGCGAATTTTTAATACTGACTACACAGTGGTAACAATATATAATTAATCTTTGAATTTAAGCACATCCCCAAGGCTTTTGAAACCAAAAACAAGCTTAAGTGATTTGCAGAACCATGACCATAGTATCTATAAAATAGAACTGCAGGTAGATTTTCCTAAAATAATCATTAAAAGAGCCTGACCATAATGTACCATACATATAAGAAGAAAATAAATCCTACCCAAAATCAATAACCAAATTTTTGTGGGGTCTTTTATTTTCTTTTCTGATGATGGAAGTCATGGCTAAAGGGTTATTCCAAAGAGTGGAAGATTGACACCAGAATAAATCTCAGTCAGTACTGCAGATATCTTGTGATATTACCTTCAGAAACAGGCTGAACATCCTTCCTCAACCACAACCGATCTGTCTCATGTACTAAAGGCAAACTACTTAAATATGTTGTGGAATAAAGATCTGGATGGAGAATTTGGTCTGATGGGATGATGTTTAATAGTTTGAAACAGCAAAATAGGGCATGGAAAATGCTTAATATGGACCACAGTCTAAATGCCACAGAGATTTCAATATGGTGACATAACCATACTATGATCTATCTTTTTCCTTTGTTATAACAGCTCTCTTTTTACATGGTACGTGTGCACAAATATTGAATATGCCTGATGTATATCTGCATAGACTTATTCATTTCGTTTCTTTTTATCATTTCTTTGTGACTTTTCTGTTGTCGAATCTGTTTGGATAAACAACACTCCACTTCATAACACATACATAAATGCAAGATCGATTTATACACATCCATTTATAAAGTTGCAAAAAAATATGAAAAATAATGGCAGCGAATGAAACAGAAAATATGAGGTTTTCTCTTGCTTTTGGTGGCTAACTATACACATAGGAAAAATATCAGTAAAACCCAGTCACCATATTGATCAAAAATGACAGGATGTTTTATAGTCTAGTTAAATCACTGGATTCTATGGCATGCTTTGCTTCATATGTGGGAGATGTGCAGCAGACACCAAACATGCACTTCGCAGGTCGTAGTCAGAACTAGCTGTGCACATCTTGGGTGCTAATTACAATCTAAGATTCAGTGGGCGGCTTCACAGCAGCACGTACATGGGAAGTCTTCATGCAAGCCCTAGGCAAACCATGCATACAGTTAGCCTCTTCACTACAGTTTGTCCTGAGTTTTAATTCTGAGAAATGTCCACCTGCAGAATGAATTTGAAGCATTATTTTTGTCTGTGCAAACACAGTTTGGAGCAAACTTCAAGGGCAGCACTTTCAGTAAGTGGATGTCTGACTACACAGATGAAAACGCGAGACACAAAATATTGTCATTTCAAGTAAGTGTAAACAAGACAATAGGAAAGAAGGGAAGAAAAATAGGCAGCTGGAGGACATATTTTTCCCTGAAAATTGTCATTTAGATGGACGACATCATTGTACTATGAGTGTGGCTACTTAGGGTGAAACTGATGACTGGATAATTTAAAAGAAAAGTACCACAAAATAAGGATCTCCTACTTTACCCTGACATCTTTTATTTTTATGTAAGGTTTGCATGAGTTGCCTTTCTTCACCAGGAATCCAGTGTTAAATCAAATAGTCTTACCTCCTGTTATGAGTGCTAGAAATCACTAGAGCTCACAAAAAATTGCAAAGCAAATGTGCGTGGTGTTTAGGCTGAAAAGCCAAGAAAACACCAAATGTGCTGCCACATACCCTATTTATTCAAAATTATTATATAATTTTCATATGGAGAATTACTGCATGCACTCAAAATGGGAATGACGACCATCTCAAATGGCCAAACTCTGTTCTCTAATGAGGTGGAAACTTCAAAAAAAGATGTCAGCTTTAAAAAAATGTAAACCACAAAGGAAGTTTAAAAACTTCTAAAGGAAAATTTTAGGATTTGTGGTGTATTTTTAAGCAATTCTAGCTGAGTGGGGGGATTGTTTGGTGTAAGTTGAATGCATTCAACATTACCACAAACATGAACTTAAGTGACTTTAGGAGATCTTCCTAAATTAGAATTCAGTCCAAAGTTAATGAAATCTTTTCACCAAATCTCATTACTTTCAATGAACTGTGGACCATGTCCCTGGAACGTATGAAGCACAGCAGACTGTCCCATGAGTATAATAATATCTATGCCTGGTCAGTATGTTAATTTCCAGATAACTGACCTGTAAAGAAGTTTGGTTTTGATTTTTTTTATTCTTATATTTAGGTTTCTTTTCCCTAAGCCTTTTAAATAAAGGTGAAAGCTGGCATTAAAATGCACTTTAGTGGCTTTTGGATTAAAAAAAAAAGTCAAAAATCAACCAAATAAATTTAATAGATCCTGTGACTTTTTGAAAATCAAATTACTTCAGCTGAGGTGTCTTTTTAACTTTGTCTTTTTTCCTATGTGTATATTAGAAATCTAAATTGATTACTGCTTTATTTGTACTTACAAGTAAATGCTGGATTCATTGCCCCCGATATCAGGTGACTGGAGTTTCTGCACAAGTATCACAATTATGCCAATAAAAAGCACAAAGTTTATCTAGGGGAAAAAGAAAGGAAAAAATTATGACAATGAAATATTTTTTCAAGTATGAGAATGAGACATTCCCAGTGACTTGCTGGTTCCATTGCCTTATGCTTTGCCAAACTGCAGTCTACAAGTTTTATAGGGTCAGGAGCAATGGGATAAGTTTACGAGAATCTTACTGCCCCTTTTCCAGGCAAAAATATCCCCCTTGCAGCAGCTAAAGTAAGGCAGAATTTCTTCAGTCCCAAGCACCAGATAAGACAAACATAAGGAAAAAAGTTTCAACATTTTTCATTATCAACCAGTGCAAAGAATAAAAAGAAAGACCCCTGCACATCAAAACCATATAGCAAAGATCTCAACAGTAAAAGCATCTTTATTTCCCATTCTCTGAACTAAGGCATTTCTCAGCATCCATCAGTCACAATTTAGTGTCTCCCCTTTCCTGGAAATCCCAAGTTGTGTCACTTTCCCTCTCCTTGGCTGAATCTGTCCCAAGGTGAGATGACCTCTAACATTTTTGGGAGGGAAGGAGTGCATGTGTGTGTGGCGGGGGGAGGGTGTTTAACGTTTTTCTTCATGTCTTTTAGTTTCATGTCATCCTGGGCACCTTCTCTTTTGTAGAATCATGTCATTACATATATTTTTTTCAAAATTTGGAGATTAATAAAATCAGTTTATTTTGATGCTTTGGCTTCAGATTAACACCAGAAGAAAACAGTGGGAAATTTAAGCTGGTCTCTTATGCAACCTTTTACTCCTGTAAGGGGACCAAGAACTTAAACTAGATGCGAGCATCTCTTTCAGAAGTATTTTCTAAATGATCTGAGGACTTCAAATGAATGGAGAGGCCCAGTTGTCCCTTGCTAGTTGCTTGAATCTTTAATGCCTTCAACAGAAGACAGGTAGAACTGATTCCCCAAAGCCAGAATGTGATCCTTCATAGAATATGTCTGTAAAGCATGGAAAATCACATACATCTCTATCACAAAAACCCCAGACCATTGGGCCCTCAGCATCTTCATACCTTTTAGTGTTATTAGCTGAATTACCTTTAATGTGTCTGAAGGTTACTGTACTTTAGAGAGCTGTCCAAACACTTAAAAGGAGAAATACCAAACCCGATGAAAATGCCTACATGCAGATAGCTCCCTGTGAGCTGGATGTTTAAATTCCCACAACAGTCAATGAAGACCTGGCCGGTGCTGTCACTGGAGTATGGAGAGCAACTTAGCATGCCCAGAATTAGACACCTACATGTGGGTAAGCCAAACAGTTTTTCAGGTGCCACTAACCATATTGTCTAGGGACTTAGTTTAATTTCCTAACTGGAGGAGCCCAACACCATCTTAAAATTCCCATATTCTTTTGGGGCAGCAGCTGGAGCCCAAACAGGGTACTTTAGAGCCTCTCAGTCGTCCATACACAAGAATCTAGCATCATCTGAGTCAAACACAAGACCTCCATCAACTAAAGAGAGCTTAGATACCTTGTTGACAATTGAACATCTTGCACTATGTCCACAATAAAGCTAATATTAGATAAATAAATGTAGCTGTGAAATGAATTCCATTCAACAGACACAGTCCAGTTTCCTAGTCACTGGCATCTAGTATTGTTTTAGATGCCCTGGGTTGTCCCACTTGGCCTTCAGCTGCCACCCCAAATGGCACAGCATTCCCATACATCCTGTGTCATATTTGCCAGCCCCAAGCAAATGCTCCATATGCTCTAGGGTCTCGCTTATGGCATTTGGTATCTATGTTTAAGCAACTGAATAACTCCTTGTCTACATGGTCTTTGCTTGCAGGCAATGCAACATCATTTAACTTGTACTAAACCTTCTTTATAACAATGGAACTACTTATCATTGTGGATGGCAAATGGTGGACATTCAGACAAGCTGTCTAGTAGTCCAGCACAGTAGACACAGAATCATTTGTAAAGCCATTGGAAGCTATTTGCATTGGCTATTTGCCCTCAGAAGCGGTGAGGAAGCACCTCCTCCAAGTGGTACTTACCATGATTGATCCAACCACAGGACCCTTGATCACCCACCACAAGGCTGTGTTGTCATTCATGTCCCAGCAGCTGCAGTCGTTAATGAAAGAATGAGGTGGCGAAAGAGAAGGAAAGAGAAAGATAAAGATATAACAAGGAAGTTAATAAACTTACAACAATTTTTAAGAGGGCAGAGACTGGGAGATTGGTCTTGTAGCTAAATTATTTTATTTGGGTTCAAAGGTACTAGTTTTTTAGTTTATTCCTGTTGTAGCTTTCTTTTACAGCCTTTACCCAATTATCTGAAAGTAAAGTAAGTATTTTCGTGGTAATTTCAATGGTACCTCTTACTAAATGGTTTTGGAAAAATGCCTCTATGCATGTTTCTGTGTGTACAGACAGTCCAACTGTAAAATTGTCCCTTTAAACTAACTTCTCAGTAGAAGGGAAAAAAAGATAAGGATACCTCGAAGGGTAAGAGATGGTTGTTCCAAAGTTTGACATCTCAGTTACTTTTCCAGGGTAAACAGATATGAATGTTGGTTCCTGACCCTTAAATGACGATGCTGACACATATCTAGTGCACAAGGATGTACCAGACACTGGGTTTATTCACATATAAGAATGATTTTCCAGCCATTGGGTTGCAAGTCCTACCAAAGAGCAAGGATTCATCTAAGAAGGTTCAAGTACTGGGCAACAATTGGGGTCAGCTCCTTTTCTAAGCTGTTGGGAATGAGTGAGCATAAATAAAATGGCATGTCTACTGCAGTATTTAAAATCTTCCTCCAGATTCACTAGAAGATTCTGCTTAAGTTTATTCCATATAGATGCATTTGGACATTCATTTGTAGACAAAGCTAGTTACAGGACCCATATACATATGGGGTTTTAACATATATTTTTAAAGCCAGAAAACCATAATAATGAAAAAAATCTTATTTGCCCTGACACACCAGCCCTGCTACACTATTTTAAGTCATTAAAAATTTGATTGTCAGTTTAAAAATGTTTTTTATTTGTCTCTGCTTGCTGCCCTCATGCTTCCCACTGGAAAATATAAAGCCACAGAAAAATGTCTACTTTGTACCTGTGGTTCTGAGAAGGAGGGTTTCCCTCCCACTGGGACAACAGCCAAAAGTCCCAGCAGTGGTTGTCATGGTGCATTTGTCAGATACCAAGAAATGCTTTGAAAGAGCATGCAGGAATAAAACACTGCTGATCTTATGAGAGCTTAAAGCAACTTGTGTGTCATTTAAATGGTAGTCTGGTAGCATCTGGGGGAAAAGCAAAAATCTTTAAACAAAACTATTTACATGTGTGAGGGAGTCAGAGCTAAAATTCCATCATCAAAGCACATATGAGAGAAATTCCAAGCAGCTGAGTGATGTCTGGTTTAGAAATTTCAGTTGAATTTATATTTTCAGTTGAACAATATTTATTATATTTCAGTTGAACAATATTTTACTGGATTCCCATAAAACCAGCAATATGGATGTGTGTGGTAGAGCTGGTGAGAAGTGAGAAAATTTAGAGCTGGGATGTCAAATTTGCACAAAATTATGTATTTTTGCTTCTGTCTACAAAGTCTAGAAACTTAAAATCTCCCCAAATCTATGGGACCGATGGCTGAGATTTTCAAACGCAAAGTAACATTTCTGAGTTACCTCACTTTGGATGGCCAACTTAAAATATTTGAAAGAGGACAAGTGTTCAGAGGGAACTCCTTCTCACCCACAGTCTGAAAATCAGACTTTTTTCAGTTATCGAGTTGTATGCCACAAAACAAAAGCACCTAAAATCACCAGTTATCTTTTTAATTCTTCATATGCATTTATAAATTAGATGCCCTCTTCTGAAAATTACCCACTATTTGCAGAGCTAAACCTCTCTAAGATGTACATTAAATCTACCAGGAAAGTCTTTATTGAGTTGACAAATGCTGGAAGAATCTGGGTAAATTCTAATATTAATCTGCCTGTACAAACAGGCATCGATGTATGGCAATTCGTCTGTGTAGAGATGAGAAATGACAGGGGCTGGAATCTACCTGCTGTAGTTCCAGTCATCTGTATTGAAAACATCTACAGCCCAGCTAATTATTCCAGACTCTGGGTGGGATGAAAAGACACTTGGAAGTTGTTCTTTTTTTTTTTTTATTTTATTTTTTTTTCCTGCACTGATGTATTTTAAATGTATACTCTGGGGCGATACAACATCCCCTACAAATGCCTATTCTTCTTAGACTTATTCCTCTCCTTTCACAGGATGTGTTCCCAGCAAGCTCAGTTGCAAATGTCTACCTTGCAGAAGTCAACAATGAATCAGCTCAAGCTCACACAAAGGTTTTTTTCAAGGACTTTTTTGGTCCAGTCCCTGTGATATCTATAGGATGGATGTGGTGGAAGAAACACCATCTTCTCCTCAGATGAACACGAACCAGAAGAAAATAAAAAAAGCAATGCACAACAGAACAGGCTGTAATAGCAGCCAACAAGCTGTACTACGTAAACAGGCTCCCTAATTTCTTTCAAATGAATTGCTACAGTGGAGGTCAGACACACAGGACTCTCTTTCAGGATGGAAGAAGGGAAGGGAGCCAGTGGGATGGGGGAGGGATGTGATTTCCATTTGGAAAGGGCAGAGTCTGATCTCTGTTACGTCTCTGGTGTACATCTGGAATAACTCCATTTAATTCAGTAGCACAGCTCTGGGTAAACAGACAGTTGCATTTATCTCCACAACCCTGTCACTTACAGTGATGTGAATCAGGAGCTGAAGTCAAGGGAGCTCTGCCAGTTTTGTAAGGAGCAAGCAGGAGGAGACTCAGACTCCGAGTCTGTATTTTAGTCCATGCCTTTGTGGCTGTGGTTTCCCAGTTCAGTAATTTCTGCAATGTTGTCAGGCTCATGCTGGCTTCTCCCCCACACCCAGAACAATGCTTGCTGATTTTTAAAAAGTAACCACTGAGACGCTCAGCTAGAATCTGTCTAAATGTGTTGCATGCTAAATAGCTTCTCTAACTAAAAGAAAGGAAAGGAGTTTTTTTTGGTTTCTTTCTTCTTTTTCCTCCTGTGAGACATTCCCCCTACCCATAAAATGCAAGGACTGTTTGGACTCCTAAGAGAAATTAATGCATTTAGGACCAGTGTTGTAATCAAAATAATGACACAACAGGGGGTTCTGGCTTGTTTTGCATGGAAATAAATTATTTAATTTGTCTTAATGTCAAAATAGAACACTGGGTCAAAGCACTGGCATCCCCAGCGGAGGAAGGGCTTTATGTGTTTTCCAGAAAGAGCATAAAAGAAAAAAGATGAAGAAAACCTGACAGAACAGTGAATGCTGTGCAAAGTTTATATCCAGGTATCTCTAGTATAACGAGAAATTAAAACATAAGCCTAATTCTCTTGGAAATAGGACTTGGGTACATAACGATGCTTTTCACTCAGATTAAAGTTTTCAAAGGACCACTGCTGAATTTTCCAAATTTTAGAATAGAATAAAATAGAATAGAACAGAACAGAATAGAATAGAATATTTCAGGTGGAAGGGACCCACAATGATCATTTAGTCCAACTTCAGTCTCCCTCATTCCCAGCATTTTTCCTAGCATTTCACCAACTTCAAACATAGCGGTCATGAAAAAGCATTGCTAAGTTTGTATTCTCAAGGTGTACGTTCATGTCCATTCCTACCAGCTACGCCTGCTGCTCTCTCAGACCAGTCAATCTACTGACTGCCGAGGTGTGCGGGGCCATCTCGGGGAGCAGCCTTTCCTTCTGGTCCTTTAGAAAAGGGTACAGGAACTT